CTAATTGACAGTTGATATTTTTTCTGTTTTAAGAAAATGATGCGATTATTAGTCCAAAAACTGTTTTGAATCTGAAGCTGCCAAAAGTTTTGAGGAGTTTGACAGATGATAAATGAGTTAATGCTGCAGACGTTTCGCTTTGCTGAAGTGTCAGAACAACGCTCCAAACACTGCAGTACGGTTTCAGCTTAGATGATTATATAAACTCATATGTAATTATTTTTGACTTATAATTACTAATAAAAAACCTTTTTCAGACAAAAGAATTTATGTCAATTGAAGTTCAACAATGAGTGAAGCAGCTCAAGTAAAATGCATTCAGCAAAATCCTCTTTTAGCAGCCTGTCATCATGTGGGGCTGGAAGCTGTTCGGTCCAAATACGTGCGAGGCGTTCTGAGCATGAGGCTCCGGTGTCACATCTGTCGTCATCTCGCCGTCACCGGCTGCATTCTGAGGCTGCTGACTGTAACCAATACTGAATAAGCTGCTGCTGGAGGACGTAAAATTAGCAGCAACACTCTATAAAAACACTCCTGTCACAGTACCAGACGTCCTGGACATAAAGGCCCCAGTCAGTGCTAAAGAATTATTTTTAATATTTTTATTTATTATTTATTTAATAATCCTCTGAACATAAAAACCTGCTGGTGGGTTTTAAAGATTGCCAAAATCAGAGCAGGAAACTGTGAAAGCAGGGAAACAATAGTTGAATTTTCAATTTCCTGATGATTCTTTTAGTAACAAGGTGAGATTTGCTGTTAGAAAATGAACCAAATCTAAGCTTATATTTCTTCAAAATCATTTTATTCTGCATTGTGCCCTTTTGCAAAACAGTTTGCTCTCACCTGTTTCCATCGAGGTGCAGGACTTTAGATTGCAATGAGAAATGAACCTACAGGGAGTAAAAATCTAACAGGAGCAAAAAACCGCTGGACACTAAGGTTCAGAGAATCAGGCGGTACTTGAACTCCTCGTAACCCGTCGCTGGCATGTCATTATAAGCTGCTTGTTAACCAAAGTTTTATAGTAATCAACTTATAATCTACAAACATGTGACATTAGAAAGTGCAGCGTCTCTCCTTCAGCTGGATATTCTGACCACCAAAGGCTGAATAATTCTTTTCTCTCTCAGGCTGTTAAATATGAATGAAGACTCCGTTCATGATGTGTTTTCCATGTAGCTACACGAGGATGTTCTTAACCATAGTCCAACTTAAGCAGAAGGCCGACAGAAGCGCAGCAAGATCACGTTTTAAATTATATTTCTTGAAAAGCTCGACTCAGACATGGTTAGAACTTTTTAAATAGAACTTTCTGCTGCACTAATTTCCCCTGAATCTATCTCCACTTTTTTTTTCAGCGGTGTATAATTAATAGAAAGTGATGCGTTAAGTGTTTTAATGTAATGATTTAATGGCGTCCGGAGGCCGAGGGGACGGATGAATAATGAATGAATGTGTGCCAATTTCATTTTAAATCAGCACTCATTCACACTGCTGATCGGGACGAGTTCACCATTAAAAACTCATTTAAAGAAGAAGAACGTTTCTGTAAGAAGTGAAGTTTTGTTGCTTCTCGACACTTTTCCGACTCTGCTTTACCTGTGTGAGAAGGGCAGTGCATTCTGGGACGGCTCTGCTCTGGCTTCAGGGATCGGAGGAGCTTCTGGTGTGACTCTCTCGTCGTCGGTGCCGTTGATGCTCTCTGAGGTCAGAGGTGACTGCAGATCACCCGGGGCCGACTCCTGATGGGCCAAACAGAAGCAAAATAAAGCAAAGAAATGTAGTTTATGAGACACAATGACACGACTGGTACAAAGTGTTCATGCTCTTAAAAATGAACAGGTTTTCTGCTGACATGTGGCTTCATTATGAGAAAGTCAAATCACAGTTTTCTCTACGTATAGGTCAGATTCAATATATTTTTCTTGTTTTTGTATGTTTTTCCAATAATGTAAAATCTGACAAACTGGTTTTAAAGATACTTTTTTTTTGCTCGAGCTGCTGTGGAGATCACAAGTATTTTTAACAATTTTTTTGCTCCCTGCAGCCACATTTTAGAAGCATGATTTCACATTTTTCTGAGCAAACAGAGTCCCTTTCTCATCTGTCAGTGCTTGACGGTTGTCATTCATGATTGGCAGCAGAGACTGTCTGTTTCTGAGAGCATGAAAAAGGAGAACCAGAGGGTCGTCTGCGAGAGGTATTGTCTGGGAAATTCACAGAGACGAGGAAGACTGATGACAGACTGGCTTATTACACCCAAACAGTAAGAATAAGCTGCAACTGTCCAAGAACACTGCAGGGAAACACCTCGGGGTAGTCTGGGTAAAAAGGGCTGTTGGACTGGAGTCGTGAAAATCATTCCTTCCATTTGTTTTTACCTTCTTTTTACCAGGTTTGTTGACTGACAACACGTTCCTTTTTACAGTGCCACTCTGAGGGGGAATCATTAGGGGGAGCAAAGGAGGTGAAACAGAGTTAAACACAAACCAGCTTCATAAATAAATTG